CCTTATGGTTCCGCCTCACAAGGCGTTACTCACTGGACATATGCCCGTCGCTTTCATGATATCGACAATACTGCTGTCATAGTTGTTTATCCTCTATCGTCAAGGTCAGCATTAAGAGTTACATTCATGCAGTCCAGTTCACTAATTCATTAGTCCTTCCGGGTAGACGCTTAAAGTCGAGTTTGGAGCCCATCAGCTCAGTTATTTTGAGTTCCGTTACACCAAATTAGCGACAGATCAAATTTTGGAAGTAAAAAGTCTAAAACAGATGTAGGTTAGAGTGCCACGATTATTTCCCATTGTGTTCAGCTTTCTTATGATGGCCTTTACGATCTTCAAATATAAGCAAATCTCGAATTTTCAACATGCTGCTATTGCATGGGATGGGAATAACGATAAAAATGCCGTTTGAGATAACCATTTCAATACTTTTCGCAAGTTGTTAGACATGCCAAAACATTAATATGGCATGAGGCAAATGATAGTGACAAATGTCATACTGTATTCGGACTGATGACTAAATGAATGTACAAGTTTGAGATAGGTCGAGAGACTAAATTTCATGATTTGGACCCTCTAAATTAGTGATGATTTTTATTTATTTCCTTCCCCAGATATGGTTCGTATATATCTTAAGGATCTTTCGCAGGTCTCGCCAAAGAATTGTCATTTTCATTTTAGAGCGTACAGCAATCAAAAATGACGTTAATTATAGTCTTCCTGGGTTAATACGGAAAATTGGTCCCCTCCTCATTCCTTACATTCTGTTAAAGAATCTTCATCGGAGCAGAATTACATTAAAAGGCATAAAGACAGACACTGACTGCAGTTATTCTGTGAGGTGGGAATCTAATGCTAGATTATGGATTACGGTAATAAATCAGTGACCACGCAAGTTCTCTCAATGTGTTCTGTGAGAAAAAGCCTACAATGTACTTTTTGCTGAACATTGCCACAACAGCCATAGGTTGAGATGTAATTTTCAAAGTCAGGATATGGAACCGGTTTCCAGCGCATGTAAGGCGGTGATTCCGTTTTCGAGCACCTTTGATTAGAAGAGGATGACAACGTGGTCGGTTGCTTGGTCTGGATAGGCACAGTCACGCCACGCTCATTCTTTATGGCGTGAGTCATGCGAATCCTGTTCAGTGCCGTCCATTGTTTTGGGGCCAAGTCGAACCCGGAAAGAGTTCTTATTGGATCATCGATTATGTGCTTATTTGGCGCGTTGGAATCCCGCCAGATCTCCGTGCGCTCATCAAAGATGATGCCGTGATGACATGAGCGATTCTGCAAGATGATAGTTCTAGAGATCTGGCTGAAGAGGTAGGTTTGGTTTACCATAGAATCTGCGATACCCTCTTAGAGATTTTTTGCGCCTTCTTATGCTGGGCGGATGGGGTTTGCTAGAGAATGCGCATAACCAGGGAGGTGAAGTGCTGTGGAGAATTCCTGTGATAATCCTCATTATGCTGTTAAGGACTGTACCATGGTGCTTGGTATGGAGCCACGCAGCATTACGGTATAGGATATCTGATATCTGATCTCATGCTTCTTTTCACATGTTTTTGCATGAATTTGTTATGAGCCTAGCTTTTCGCACAGATTATCTGACGATGTTCCCTAAACGA